AAGTTAAGCTTAGTCAGCTGGCTCAGAGCTTTGACATTTTATACCTGCAACATGTAGAGAACCTTAGGGTTTAGAGATGCTCCTCTTCTGTTAAATTTAATTTAATTTAAAATATTGCAGCCTACAAGTGGGATCACTGGGTCAAATACCCTAAGAAACCTGAACACCAATCAGAAAGAATACATGTACCCCCATGTTCATTGAAGCACTATTTACAATAGCTAAGATCTGGAAACAACCCAAGTGTCCATCAAAAGATGAGTGGATAAAAAAGCTGTGGTACATGTACACAATGGAATACTATGCAGCTGTAAGAAAGAAAGATCTCTTATCCTTTGAGATGACATGGAGGGACCTGGAGAGTATTATGCTAAGCAAAACAAGCCAAGCAGAGAAAGACAAATATCACATAATCTCACTTATTTGTAGAATATAATGAACTAAACAAACTGATGAAGAAAACTGACCCAGAGACATAGAGGTGAGGTACAGACTGACAAATCTGAGGAGGGGCTCTTGGGAGGGGAAAAGATAAACCACAGAACTTATATGCATGTATGCATGACCAATGGGCATAGACAACAAAGCTGGGGATGGAGGGGGGAGGATGTCAGTGGGGGGAAAAGGAGAAACATCTGTAACAAAAAAAAATTAATATAAAAGAAAGAAAGAAAGAAAGAAAGAAAGAAAGAAAGAAAGAAAGAAAGAAAGAAAGAAAACATTCCTTTTGTTTCTATCTTCTGGGTGAGATTATAGAGAACTGGTTTAATTTCTTTCTTAAATGGTTAGTTGAAACCATTAGTGAAAAATTATATATATATATATATATATATATATTGCAGCCTCTTTAAATCAGTTATTACCATGGGAAAAGGTTGTTTCTGCCATACTTTTTTACCTGATTTGGACACATAAATAGCTGAGATGCATTTCTAGAATCTTAGCTGCTTTGTGCAGAAATTCTATGAAGCAAAGCAAAAGCCAAAAAGCATGGCAAAAGCATCAGTCTCCAGCAGTGGGTCAAGTTATCCGAGAAGAGCGGAGCAATCTGCAGTCATACAGCATCAGGTTATTGATTACACCAGCTTTGCTCTGGAGAAAGTAAATCCCATTTTCTGATTTTCACTGAGAGCGGGTGTTTTTTCCTTCAGACTGGACAAACTGTTTAACCTCTGTGGGCCACGGTTTCCTGGCCTAAAAGTGTTCATAGTCAACTAGATGATCCCTCAAGTTGCAGCACCAAAATTGTACGGCTCCAAGATACTGTGAAATCCCAAAAACAAAGGAAAAGAGGGATATTGTTCTCATGCTATTGTCCACCCAGCTGGATTTATCAGATTAAGATTCTGAGTTATAAATAAAGGAAGAAAAGAACTGATACAATGTAGAGCTTGCATTTGCAGGAAGTACATTTTTCATCCATATGGACCTCAACTATTTCACGTGCTAACAAGTAATTGAACAGACTATCTATAGACACGGCTTTGTTCATTCATCCACTTTTCTCTAGAACAGTAAAAATAACTTTATTGCTTTGTTATAAAACTGTGTTTGAATAAAAATAGGGAAATGCAATCCTCAACGGTTTCTGAGATCTAGCTGAGAAAATTCGCCAAAAGCCCAAACGTGTCTTTAATATAAGCACAAAGGTAAGAGTGCCATCTGCTGGCCTAAGTTGTCTAATAGAGTCTTTCGGACTTGATTGAATAAAATCACTAACTCCACAAATAGCTTCTAAAACTTGAGTCTACACCCTGCCTCTTGAAACACTGAGTTCTTTAGTAACTTGATATACTGAGTCTAAATAAAAAAACCACTAGTCCAAAATACACAAAACATATCAATATACCAAAGTATTCTCTCTGATTTCAAAAAGCACCTTATTTTAATTATATCATGCAATATTTACGGTACCCAAAAGCAATAAACCTATCAGGTCCCAGAGCACAAGGATAGTATCTTCCTTTAAAAACCCTGAGAGAGTAGGGTATTTGGAGTGTTTATACAGTGGGAAAGGTGTCAATTGTCAAAAGTTTGACAGCAGCAACTAACAGGTAGCTCTATTAACAGAGTTCAATTAAGGAAGAAAGAGAACACAGTTGAGTTGAAGTCATATATCAGATATAATCATCACTTCACGCCTCCACACTGACGTCAGTGGGCAGAAGAAGGCCAGACTGACTCTCTCCTTTATGAGGTGTTGTGATATTAATATCTGAGCCACCAAATACACTCTTATTCTTAATCTCAACCCCCCCCCAAAAAAAAAATTTCCTGCAGAAAAGATTCTCATTTTAAGAGAACTCCCTATAACAATGGAGCTGCTCAAAAAATGTTTCACATAAAAACAAAAATTCACATCAACTAGTTAGTTCAATAAATCTAAGATGATCCCAGGAAAATGTATCCCATTGCCTGAAATGCTGGATGACTGTGGCACAATACTGAAATCATCTAAGAGAGTGTATGAGGCAATAGGAATTCTTTTGATTCAAAAAGTACATGAAACTTCCTATGCAGAACACATTTAACCAAAAGGAAAAAAATCATCTTAAATAGATGAGTTTAATATTACCAAGAAGCCAAGAGATAAGCTAGCACAGTTCTTAAGGATCCTTGACATTCCTATTAACGTTCAGCCTTACCAACATTGCAAACACAGTCTCAGAACAATTCACCGACTCTTGGCATTAAAGGGCTTTTGCTTTCTCATGATGCCACCCTATGAGGTTGTTTGGAAAAGCCAGTTATTAAAATATTAAATCAACTACCAGTATACTTTAAATGAATTTAGGAATAGAGATAGACAAAATCTATATGAAAAAACAATATACTTACCATTTTTTGTTGTTGTTGAAAGATATCACTTGTATTGTTTCCCCGTGTATGAATGTGAATGAGTCTGAGTATGCCCCACTACAGATTACTCACAGTCTGTTTTTTAAATTAAAACCATTTCATGACCAAAGCGTTATTTTGGTTAGTATTGGTGACCTATCCTCACACTTTTTTCATCACCAGTACCAGGATGTAAGAATGCAGTGGTCCTAACCTCATATACTGCTTCTGGTTCTCTGAGAATGTCTTTAGGTCAGTTTGCATACCTCCACCAACCTTGCCAAAGTATAATGACAGAGCTCGGAAACCACATCCACAGGAATGCAGGAAACCGATCATGCATTTACGCCAAGTTAATGACAATAGACAACTTGGAGGAAATTAGTTCATGTAAAACATGCCACTCTTCATACTTACTCAACATTGAAAACCACCGCAGATCAACTACCGTGGTCAAATTCAGACCAAGAGTAATTTATATTTGCATTACACTCCACTATAAAATATGTTCCCATCTATTATTTCATTTGTGTTTCAAAACACCCTCTGCGATAGGCAGACCGTTTTACAAATCACTTGAGATTATTCACTCCATTTCTCATCGTTGGAAAATAGCTACTGGGTTTCTTCACTTGTGTAATGTTTACTGAGAGACTAAAATCCCAGTAGAGATTGTCAATAACATACTAGTAAACACTAAACCATGAACTAGAGGTTGACATAAGCCAATGAAGCACACTAGTGGTGTCTGCGAGAACCACATGCTCTGTGATGGAATTCTTCTATCAGCCAAGTAGCTGGCACTGCCACACGTCGAAAGAAATGACATTGAACAGGTGCCCAACATAGGCATTTCCCTGTAGATCAAGGGATGCCTGTAGAGAGTGAAAATGACAGAGTGACAGAATCAAATTTGCTTTCTGAATATATCAAAGTGATATTAGCACCAAAATATATTTGAGATTATATAGATGAAAAGACAGAGGGCATGAAAAGGTACACTTTATCAAGTTCCCACAGTTAGTAACAGTCAAGGCTAGAACTCAATTCTATCCTCAGTCCCAAAAGCAGATTGAAACAACATAAAAGAGTTCAAGATAATACATCATGTGGTAAAAATGAAAATGTATGTAGCCAATAAATTAGTCAAAGAATTTTCCATTTAAACAACTTTGGAACTGAGCGTGAACTAGGACTTAAGTTCGGAAGGTCCCCAGCTGCAGTGCTTTGGGGAACCTCTGCTGAACAGGCATTAGCACTTGGGCAATTCACCTGGCTCTTCGTCTTCTGGATGTTAAGGTGAAATGGAGTAATAAATTCCATTTTCTATCAATGGAAAACATATTAAATTATTTATAGGGTGTTTTTTTTCCCCTGTAACTGCAGTCAAAAAGGAATTAAGCATCATTTTAATTTTTACATAAAAGACTCAGGAAGCACTCTGAGCAGAAACTTCAACTGTGACCTTAAAAATCAGTAGCTTTCCTTTGACATCTCAACATCCATCCTGTGATAAATCATATTTCACTACATCAAATTAAATGTAAATTCAATTCTGTTTGAGATTTGTGTAATCTCTGGTAAGAAATGGGTTCTTATAACATGCATTTAGGTAACTAGTGTTTTAATAAAACTATAATAATCTATCCTATAATACTCTAATCTGGAGGAATCATTTCATCAATTGTAACAAAGGCTTAGTTAGAAGCAGAATGCTTTTTTTCAGTCAAAGGAATGTCTTTAATATCCCAAATCTATATTTGGAAAATAAAGCACTTCACTCATTTCCCAAAGGGATGATCATAGGTAGTCCGTGTATTTTTGTGCTACCCAGTAGAATATGTAACACACTCTGCATCCCATCAAAAGTCTTTTACTTCAAATTTGAAAATGTCCTATGTAGCCTGGCTGGTGTGGCTCAGTGGTTGAGCATTGTCCCATGCACCAAGAAGTTGTAGGTTCGATTCCCCATCAGGGCACATGCCGGGGTTGTAGGCTTGATCCTCAACAAGGGGAGTGCAAGAGGTAGCCTATCGATTTCATGTTTTTCTCTCATTGATGTTCCTAGCTCTCTCTTCCTCTCCCTTTCTCTCCCTCTAAAAATCAATAAAAACTTATTTTTTAAAAAGGAAAATAGCTCATTCTCCAACTCTCCTCACAGCATGGCCCCCAAACGCCAGTCTTCCCTGCTAGCTCAATTGAAGAAACAGCGACTGCTTCCTGCCCCCAAGTCAGAGAGGAAGTCAACCCCTCAGATATTGCCAAAGGGAGAAAAAGAACAGCAAGAAGCAATTGAACATATTGATGAAGTACAAAATGAAATAGACAGACTTAATGAACAAGCCAGTGAGGAGATTTTGAAAGTTGAACAGAAATATAACAAACTCTGCCAACCATTTTTTTCAGAACAGGTCAGAATTAATCGCCAAAATCCCAAATTTTGGAGCAACAACGTTTGTCAACCATCCACAAGTGTCTGCACTGCTTGGGGAAGAAGATGAAAAGGCGCTGCATAATTTGACAAGAGTTGAAGTGACAGAATTTGAAGATACCAAATCAGGTTACAGAATAGATTTTTATTTTGATGAAAATCCTTACTTTGAAAATAAAGTTCTCTCCAAAGAATTTCATCTGAATGAGAGTGGTGATCCATCTTCAAAGTTCACTGAAATCAAATGGAAATCTGGAAAGAATTTGACAAAACGTTCAAGTCAAACACAGAATAAAGCCAGCAGGTAGAGACAGCATGAGGAAGCAGAGAGCTTCTTTACCTGGTTTACTGACCATTCTGATGCAGGTGCAGATGAATTAGGAGAAGTCATCAAAGATGACATTTGGCCAAATCCATTGCAGTACTACTTGGTTCCTGACATGGATGATGAAGAAGGGGAAGGAGAGGAAGATGATGATGATGAGGAGGAGGAGGAGGAAGGGTTGGAAGATATTGATGAAGAAGGTGATGAGGATGAAGGTGAAGAAGATGAAGATGATGATGAGGGAAAGGAAGGAGAGGAAGATGAAGGAGAAGATGACTAATGGAACACTGATGGATTCCAACCTTTTTTACTTTTCTCCAGTCCCTGGGAGCAAGTTGCAGTCTCTTCTTTCTGTCCCCTCCTCCCCTTCTGCTCAGTCACCCTGTTTTTGTGGTCTCTTTTCTCTCCTTTACACCATGGTTCTTACCTTATTTGAAGGGAATGTACTTTGAGCAGAATACAGTGGGAAAAGAATCTCTGCCCCTTTCTATTCCAAATTCATTTTTATCTCTTCTTGTCTCAAGAAACTTTACAGAATCAACACCACCGGGCTCTGTGGGAAAAAAGAAAAACCTTCTGCTCCCTTAGCCCTGCTGGAAGCTGGAGGCTGCTAGACCCTGTGTAGTAGTGCACAGAATTCTAGCTTCTTTCCTCCTTTCTCTGTGTATTGGGCTCAGAGATTACACTGCGTCTCTATGTGAATATGGACAGTTAGCATTTACCAACACGTATCTGTCTACTTTCTCTTGTTTAAAAACAGAAGAAAAAAAAGCTGAAGGGGGAGTTATAGAAGGTCAGCAAAGGGTGGGTTTGAGATGTTTGGGTGGGTTAAGTGGGCATTTTGACAACATGGCTTCTCCTTTGGCATGTTTAATTGTGATGTTTAACGGACATCCTCGCAGGTTAAGATGACACTTTTAAAATTCTCTTCTAACGATGACTTGAGCCCTGCCACTCGATGGGAGAATCAATAGAACCTGTAGGACCTTATTCGGAATTGACATTTCTCTATTGTAATTTTGTTCCTATTTATTTTTAAATTTTCTTTTTGTTTCACTGGAAAGAAAAGATGCTCAGTTTTAAACATAAAAGTGTGCAAGTTGCTTTGTTACATTAAAACTAAATGTGTACCAAAATAAATAAATAAATATTTAGAAAAAGAAAAAGAATATGTCCTGTATAAGGTATTCGACAGCATTCTTAGAAATAGCATAAATAAAATTGTCTAGAAGAGAAGATTAATTGAGGTGATCAAGTTAACTTTATATAAATAAACATTTCACCAGTCAAAAGCAAACCAAAACTAAGGAATGGTCTTTTCTCTTGGCCCATCTAGATAGCCCAACCTCTCCTTCACCTAAATCTTAACTATCATCTTGTGCATTTAGCCTTGCTTTGCCTGACTCCTATCCACAGCCAACTCACTGCCCCATGTCCATTCTCTCACCAACTGCAACACCAAAAAGTTTGTTCGGGAAGAATATTGTTCATTGTCTCCAAAAAGTTATGAGCATACCCCAGACATCTTAGTTTGTTCTTTGATACCATTATTTTATTCAGCAAATATTTTAATTTCTCACCCTATATAAAACAGACTAGAGACAGATATGTGAGGAAATACATAGAATAAAGGGTTGTCGTTGCTATGGTAGCATTATGTGTATGGTTCAATAAAGAGCAAAAGAGCCCTGGCCAGTTTGGCTCAGCGGTTAGAGCGTCGGCCTGCGGTCCGGAGAGACCCGGGTTCGGTTCCCGCTAAGGGCGCGTACTTCGGTTGCAGTTGGTCCCCGGCCCTGGTTGGTCATGCGGGTGGCAGCCACTCGATGTGTCGCTTTCACGTCGATGTTTCTCTCTCTCTCTCTCCCTTCCTCTCTCTCCCTCCCACTCTATCTGTACAAAAAAATGGAAAAATATCCTCGGGTGAGGATAAAAAAAAAAACAAAAAGAGCAAAAGAGAAAACTGTCAAGTTTATCTAAATAAGGGTTGCAAGTTCACTATGGTAAAATGTGTTCATACTCATCTTTTAATGACCTTCATAGTGGTCTTTCATTCTAACACATCGGGATTTAAAGATCAACCTAACAGTCGAACCATTTTTCTGATCTTGTTATATTCTCTTTCCACTCTCAGCACTCTTAATATAACTTAAAATACAAAATACATATTAACATTATAGTATTTTAGTACTACATTTAACCAATACAAAACAGCATTAATTAAATGGTTGGTGTACAAAGCTGGTAATACCCCTCCCCCTATGCCTTTTAAATACCACTTTAGGGAGTCTGCTAAATATCTGTTATGTCTGTGGCAACCCAGCACCTTTTGAACACTCTTCGTTTGTCTGAACAGTTTGGTACATTCCGAATCCAGTCTCTTCAACACAGAGGCCAGAATTCCTATCCTGCCTATCCCCTGAGTGTAAGCATGTGATACACGATGCACCCACAAAGGACTTCAGTCTGGGACGTTGGTGACATGAGAAAGCAGATGCAGCCATAATCCATCTTTCAGGGAACATGGCAGCAAAGTTTTCTGGCTTTTCAGGGTCAGACATCCTGGAACTTCTGGGGTCCAGTTCAGCATCATCAGGGAAGTTGCAATGCTCAGGACAAAATGCAATGTCTGCACTAAGTGGTGACAGCATTGGTTTCTGGTTGTTTGGTGGCTGAGCCAGACACTCTAAGTCTACTGTAGATTCTCTCATGGGCCAAATATATTTTACTAAGTTTCTTTTCTGCATAGTTAAGTTATAGTGGATTTTATTGTTTGGAACATGAACTTATGTCCAATGGCTGCTGACTGTGGAGGGGGCCTTCTCATTATGAACAGTTGATTCTAAGCTGCCCTAATTGTCACAGAGCAATATCCTTGGAATGCTCCACCCCTACCCCTCAGGAATACAGATGATGCGTGAGGAGGTGCTAGCTCTGGGGGCAGCTTGCTGTCCCACTTCTCCAACGATGAGACATTTAGCCCAACAACCACCAAGTCAGCTTTTGGAAGCAGACTGTACTTCTTTGTTTCGGGGATGTACACCTTTCACTCACTTCCTCCAGATCTTAGCACACAACACTGAATTTTCTTCACCCGAAGTATTTTATCTTCTACCTCTAAGTGACTTCTGCTTTATAAAGCATTTTCCCAGTGCTACAGTGACTATTTTGATAGCTATGTTCTAAAATATTTTCAGAAGGTTTGTGAAAGTCTTAGTGAAGTATCTAAGCTTTCCCTTTTACCTCCTAATGGAGCCAGTAATTTCGCTCAAAAAAATATTCTCATAGGTAAATTATATTCCATTCTCCTAATAGACTCACCCTGTGAAAGTGCTTGTTCGGTGAGCCCATCATTATTATAGATTCTCCCGGCCCATCTGACATCTGATTGGTTCTTTCTGGAACACCAGCTTCAGTGACTTATCTTTGTACAGCATAATTTTTAAAACCTAGTAGCAGTTCAGTGTTTTCATCTACACACCGGGAAGTTACCACAGGTCGTCACCTTTACCAAGTATGGGTGTGCCTATGTTCAAACACACATATTTCAATTTGTATTCTTTATCATAATTCATTAAGACACAGTTAAAATTCGCTTTCAGCCCTGGCCAGTTTGGCTCAGCGGTTAGAGCGTCGGCCTGCGGTCCGGAGAAACCCGGGTTCGGTTCCTGCTAAGGGCACGTACTTCAGTTGCAGTTTGTCCCCGGCCCTGGTTGGTCGTGCGGGTGGCAACCACTCGATGTGTCCCTTCACATCGATGTTTCTCTCTCTCTCTCCCTCCCACTCTATCTGTACAAAAAATGGAAAAATATCCTCGGGTGAGGATTAAAAAAAAAAAAAAAAAAAAAAAATTCGCTTTCACCAATATATGAAAGGCAATATTACTGTGCAAAGTGTAGCCAAAATAAAATGAAAAAGAAGTTATGATAATGAAGAAAACAAATTATTCTCAAGCCCTTCAATAGCCTCTATTTGTGTATGAAATGCTGTATCAGCTCAAGTTCATGACATCGCACACCATATCAAACATATGCACGGGAATGTAAGAACCCATTCTGGCTTCTCCTGCTACATTTACTTAATACAATCATTCGAAAATGGATATTTGGTCAAAAATTTTTGTGGATTGACAAACATGACTTCTACTTTCCTGTTTGAAGTTCTATGAGTGCAAATTTATAGAGTGCAACCTTTTTAAAAAAAAAAAAATGCGGGGCTCAGGCCTGGGAAGTCTGGCCTGTCGTGTGGTCGCCGCTGTTGTGGTTGGTGCTCTGAGCTCCGCGGCTCCAAGAGCCGGCTGCGCCCCTTCCAGCGAGGTGGGTGTTTAAGGAGGACCACTCTCTGGAACACCGATGCATGGAATCCACACAGATCCAAGCGAAATATCCCAACCAGGTTCTGGTGATTGTGGAAAAGGTCTCAGGTTCTCAGATTGTTGACACTGACAAACGAAAGTATCTGGTTCCATCTGTCATCACTGTGGCCCAGTGCATGGGGATCATCAGGAAAAGGATGCAGCTTCCTTCTGAAAAGGTGATCTTCCTGCTTGTGGGTACGACAGTCCCACAGTCCAGCCTAACTAGGGGACCACTTTACAGAAGGAAAAGGATGAAGATGGAGTCTTGTATGTGGCCTACAGTGGAGAGAACATGTTTGGTTTCTGGGGCCCAGTGCTGGGCCAGGTGCACCATACCTGCTTGTGTATCTTGTACATAGCCGACCAGTTTCAGTGACTATACCAGAACCTCTTCACACAGACCTATTAGTGCGTTTGTAACTGGATTGATTTCCTGATATATTGGAAGGTTTTTGTTTCCTTAGACTAGTAAATTATCATAGAGTTTTATTTTGAGTGTTTCTTTGTATGTACTGTCCTCATGGCTATACTTTCCAGAGAATGTGTTCCTCTGGGAAGCATATTTATTTTTTTTATTTTATTTTTTATAGAAATATATATACACACACACATATATATATATATTTTTTTTTTGGTACAGCCCCTAGCGGGAACCGAACCCAGGACTTTCTGGTCTGCAGGCCGATGCTCCAATCGCTGAGCCAAACCGGCCAGGGCTGGGAAGCATATTTAATGAAGATATTTCCATATTGAAGTGAGGTAGGTGGGGTATTAAAGTGAAGGGGAGGAAGATTATGCATTTATTCTGGATTATATCTGAAGTGTTAGATGGCTAAGTATTAAAAGCATCCAAATTAAATCTTTAGCAATCAGAACACCTGCTTTACTAGATTTTTGCCAACTGCCAATCATGTTGGACTGAGCTA